ACATTATGGGCTGAATTATGTCTCCCAAAACTGTCTCTTAAATCTTAATCTCTATTCCTGTGACTGTATCTGATTTGGGAGAATCAGTTATATTTCTTATGTGAGTGAGATGAGAATGTAGGGTGTTTTAAATAAATTTCTTACAAAATAAAAATATAAGATTAAGGAAGCAGAGATGGGGGATATAGATGCCATGTCATGTGAAGATTATCAAGAAGAGACAGAAATCTGCCTCCCAAACTGAAAGAGAAAACCTTCCTCTACACCCTGAACTCAGATTCCTAAACTGAGAAAATACAGCTCAGTTCTTACACACTGACAAAGTTGTCCAGTGTGGTATTTCTGATCAGCAGCACTATATAAGTAAGGTGGATTGCATCTACCTTTGGCTATGGTGTATAATGCCCCATGGAATACGTATATTTCCTCTAGTCATATATCTAGGGTAGGGGTGTGCTGGGTCATTACAACAGTTCATACGCAATTTTGTGAGGAATCACCAAAGCGTTTTCCACAGAAGTGGTACAAGTTTACATTCCCACCAGCAGTGGGTGAAGTCTGATGGGATGTTTTTGATACATAAAAACAAGTAGGGAAAATATCCTATTCTGTGCTTCATCCATTCATGGCTTCAGAAGTGGCCAGTAACCCTCCCCCAATCTACAGCCTCATCCCCCTACCCCTCCCACTCCCCCACCCAGCCAGGACTCTATGTGGGTAGACTAGGCTCCTTTCTGAAGAAGCAGGGGAGAGAGAATGTTCCCAGGAGGAAAGACCCAGGGTCGATAGGTGATGCCCCTGGTAAAACAGAAGATGTAAAGGAGGTCTCCACTGAGTTGTTCTCAGGCTTCTGCAAGGAGGAGGAGGAGGAAAGCCAGGTTGGAGCTCCAGGCAAAGAAGCCAAAGAACACAAGGACTCCTGGGGCCAGGAAAACTTGGAAAGAAAGCTGGACAGGAAGGCCTGGCTGGGTGGAGGCTGGGCAGCAGGGTAGCCTGGGAAGGTAGGGAGAAGACAAGCAACTATATCACTTGCTCTCCAAGATCAAACAAGGTGATAGCTGGAGAGCTCACAAGTACAAGGCACCAGGTGGCAATGAGTTTTCCTGACACGAGGAAGCTTTAAAGCACATCGACTGTGCACACCAACTCCCTGTTACATTGACATGAGGAGTGTGCCACCCCACTTTCCAAGTCCCCAGAGAAGAAAACAGCAGTGCAAGAATCTTCCCCTGGGCCAGCACTCACTAGCTAACTAGTGAGGAGGCTAAGAGTCTCCTGGGATGGAAGTTACTGACTCTGATACTGCCATACTGTCTCCTGTGGTCCTCAGTGCCCAGCTCAGTCTTTATCCTTTAGGAACTTACAATGCAGAAGGAGAGACATGTGTGTGTGTGTTATAGTGTGTATATATGGACTTGTGTGTGTGTACTTGTATGCATGCATTCCGGTGCGCATGTGCATTCCTGTATCTGTATATGTGCACACATATGTGCCTGTGTTTCTGTGCACACATACATGTGCATATATCCCTACATGTGTCTATGCATGCACGTATGTGTGCAGATAAGTGTGCATGTGTGTTCTTGTGTGTATGTGTGTGCCTGTGTGTGCATGTGTTTCTCTATGTGCATGCACGTGTGTGTAGATAAGGATTATGAAGTAAAACATAAGATGAGAGAAAAGTGAAGGGAGTGTGTTGTTTTGGGTGTGCTGGTCATGCTGAGTGACGTTCAAGGACAGACTTCAAAGGAATGAAGTAAATCTTAGATGTGAAAGTTATGAAGAACATTTCAGCAAGTAAAGGCCAGAGACAGGCGAGTGTTTGTTGACTACATTGACTGATCATATCGGTGTCCCTGTCATTAGACCTGGAGCAAAGACTCACACCTGAGTCCCTCTCATCAAAGGAGGGGTGAAAACATTCTGAAGGGTGAGTAGGGGCCAGTTATTCTCTCTGGCCCAGTAGCTTAGAGGGAGTCTAGCACATTCTGTGGAGGAAAATCAGAGAGGTCTAGAACTAGGGCCGTGTTGTCCCAGAGTCACCACTTTTTCTGTGGTGTTTCAAATGGAACACTGGTATTTCCTGACATCCCGCCTCCAGGTTCCCCTGGCCCAGAGCTCCTTGCCTCTGTAGTATTTCCCTTGGCTTATGTGTGCCTTTCTCTTGCCCCCTTTCCTTTCCTCCCTCCCTTCCTTCTCCCCCTCACCCCCATCTCCCAGAACACTAATGAAGGCTCTGGAGTCTCTGCGATTCTAGACTATAGAGAGGCAGTCCATTTACTAGATGTCCTGAGGCTTGTTATGACCATAGGATGAGTAGGACAGTGACTACCTCATTATCCTTAAGTCATATCTGTTTCTCCACATGTCTTGCTGACAATACTTATTGCTCTTATTCCACTATTTCAAGACTTTCTATTCTTACCAATACAGCATATCAAATGGCACACCCCAAACATGCTTGAGCATACACAAATCTCTTTGAAGGTGTACTGTGGGTGCAAACTGACCAAAGGACGATTTCTCCCAATTCTAGTTTCAGGAACTTTCTAGTTGACAGGAGAATGCCTTCATGACAGTCCAGAAGGTTCTCTATAGTGCATTCCAGGGCTTTGTGGAGGGATTCACATCCGTATGCCCTTCTTCTGGTCTGTGGAGGGAGGGGCACTTGGCCACTGGTGCCTGGGCTGGGGAAAATAAGAATGGGACCATGGAGCCAGAAGGCTCCAGGGCAGAGAGCAGCCCACCTGGCCGTGCTGCCCTGTGTTATAGCTCAGTGGTCCTTTGAGCCAGGTCCCCCAAGCTGGCATCAGTTTGTTAGAAATACACATTCTGAGTTCTATCTTTAGGAGCTCAGATGATCTACCGACAAGGAACTGCACTGAAACCCAAAGGTAGTGGCTGGAATCTGCCTGCTTTCTGTGGGAGAAAGATGGGCAACCTCCTCATATGCTATTTACTGTCTCTAAAAACCCATTGAGGGTCAGCTATCGGTCAGTTCCAACTCACTGGCAATGAGTTTCACTTGGAGTCCTGCCCTAGACCCACTCAGTCTTAAAAAGCACAGGGGCTAGACATGTGTGTTTTCACAAGCCATCCAGGTGATTAGCTTGCAAGTACCCATCGCACAGCAAACATAAGAGTGAACTCTGCAGAGGGGCACACCCACATAGGTGGACACATAGTGCATAGTGGAGTGTACTCAGGGGAGGGAGGGGATTGTATACCAATGAAAGAATTTTTCTTTTACTTTTCAAAGAGAGGAGCAAACTGGGGGGGTGATGGGCAGGGAGAAAAGTGCAACAGTGAATGAACGGAAATCCAAAATCTCTGTAAATGTTCATTAAAATGAATTAAAAAATATCATAAGGGATATAAAATTCGAGTAGAGATTCTAGAATCTTGGGCCCTCTGTAGATGCATTTTACTCTGCTCGTACAGATTATCGTGAACTGGAATGAACTTACAGCAACTAACAACATGGAACTGTATTCAATTTTGGAATTAAAGAATGAATGTATGTAGAGAAAAAAAACAATAATAATACTGTATCATCTAAAAAAAAGTGGATACAGTGAAGATTGGGCCACATTTCTGCTGCATATGGGGTGGAACCCACAACACAGCAGCTAACAGGTTATGCAGGTGCACACAACTGCAAGAGCTCAGGCCTGGAACTGTGTTGCATACTGTGGAGTGGGAGCTCAGCAGGTTTTCAAAGGTTGTCAATCAAATGGAAGGAAAGTGCACACCTTTCTCCCTTGGAGCAGCAGGTGAATTCCAATTGCATTTCTTTGGGTTGGCAGAGCAACTCTTTACCTCTAAACCACCAGAGCTCCCTCAGAATTGCAGTAGGATTATGATTTAGGTCCTGGATCCCTATGGGAGGATACCAGCCCTGAGGGGATGTCTATATTCTGTGTACCAGTCCCAGGTTGGGATTAGGTGATTTAAAGATATTTAAGGATATATCCAAATCAGAGATGCACCATCCCAATTTATCTCCTGCCTTACATGAATCTGGAGGGAAAACAAGTGCAGTTACAAAACGCCCAAGGAGATGTTCTGCATGGATGAGGCCACTCATTCCATTTACTCAATAAGGAGAAGGCCTTAGGGTGATAGAAAGGCTCAACACGAGCCCAGAGGTTGGAGGTCAAAAAGGCTTTCCTTCACTTTCCTGGCCTGGCTCTGGGTCCCCATGGACTTCGGCTAGCCAACAGTTTACCTGCTGCCGCTGCTCAACTGAAGCCCAACTGCAGTCCATTTATGTCAGGGCCCAGAAGAGCATCTGTTGTTGTTTAGTTTGCTCTTCAACCGCAGCAGTTACCAGAAGGAAATGCCACCCTGCCTTCTCCCACTAACCCACACTTTTTTTCTGTCTGAAGAGTCTTAGCTGGAATCTGCTTGCTTCAGGCCTCACCCCAGGCCCCACACTGTTAGGGTGCAGACTTTAGAAAGGGCCCTCCAGGCCTGGAAAACACACAAGCCCTACTAGGGAAACCGAGGCATTTTTGTCTCTTTGCCTTTTGATAATCTCTGAGGCCATGCCCCAGGAGAATAGGGTCTTCTTCTCCAAGCAGGATTACCCCAAGGCTCCACTCATGAATTTACTAGACTATCTAGGAGCTCTATCTGGCATTGTGACCAGCAAGGTGACAGGCAGTGGGTCACCCTGCAGGCGGCACACACAGAGGCATCTTTCCTCGAGGGTGCCAAGGCTGCACCTGACCAAGCTGGACGGGTCCTTCAACCAAGGCAGGGGCCCAGTGAAACCTCCATTCGCTTTGGGTCCTCTGCCTGCGCTGCCTCAGGCTCCACTCAGGTCTCACTGAGGCAGCCTTAAGCAAGGGAGGCTGGGAGGTCAATGGTCCGCCCCGCCCCGCCCGTTCCATGTAGTTCCTGCCTGTCCCCATCAGCAGAGCCTGTCCCCTGCAGTGTGCCTGAAGCCTGCCTCTGTCCATCTGTCTGCTCAGAGGGCGGTGAGGCAAAGGCGCAGCATGATGGCCATCGCAAGGTAACTCGAGGGTCACTCCGTGAGGGCCCAGCCCAGGGACGCTGCGAGAGGGACAAGTGTTATGGCTCTGCCCGAGGTGGGCTGCTAGAGGTGTCCAGAGAACTGGGTTCTGCACTGAGAGCGAGTCCCTGACCCAGGCCAGGAGCGCCCTGCTCTGGCGCAGGTCGGCTGGGTCTCGGAGCACCTAGGCTGCAGGCAAACCCCTTGGGGTGCCCGCCCCCTCCATGGTTCGGGGGATGGGGCAGCTGCCCGAGACCTTGTAAGCACCCAGACGTCCCTAGAAAGAGTTCCCCGTTTCTGTCTGGGGTTTAGAAGTCTCTAAATCCCAGTGACTTCTTGGCTTGCTCAGCATTGGCAGGAGTAGGGCGTGTCTTGTGCAGCACGCGCTCCTTACCCACTTGTGCAAGAGGCTCGCCTCACATGCTGGGATTTCTTTCCAAGAAATCCAAAACTTTTAGGGGCAAGGAAAAACCCCCCTTCTCCTCTTCAATTCACAATTAGTGTGTGGTGGGGTGAACGAACCTCAGACAAGAGGCCTGGAGCTGCCTGTCCCTGGACTGGAGAGGGAAAGAAACTGCACACACACACACACACACACACACACACACACACACACACACCGCAAGGTGTGGTTTTCTCCTTATTGTGGGCTGTGGAGTCAGAAAACTTGGAGCTGACCCTCCAGCTAGTTTTCAGTGGCTTTAAATCACACAGGAGGAAATTGTCCATCTTTACTACTCTGCCACCCCCACCTAGTGACTGGAGAATTCAAACCCCTTGTTGCATTGGCAGCACCCTTATTGTTATGTACTGTCAGAGAGTTTGAGATGACCTTTCTGTTGGTTTTCAGAGATTGCCCACCTTCTTCCTGTGGAGCAGCGTCAGGGTTTGAACCACATGAAGCCCACATGTTTCTGCAGCTCCTTCCCACTAGGCTGCCAGAGCTTTTCTCCTTGGAATGATGCAAAGTGTTTATGTTTGCAAAGAATCTGCACATTCTGGCCTCCTCTTCTCAGCCTGCTGCCCTCCAAAGGGAAATCAGCTGGTGGCAGAACCTGTACCCTGCAGGTGGACTTCAGGTACATGCCAGCACCCGGCCAGCTCACCAATAAAAAGGACTATTGACAGCTGCTTTTATCTTGATTTCAAAGTTCTTTGACCACAGTGACAAAGGCTTAAACAGATCTTATCCATTTAATAGATGAGGTAAGGTTCAGAAGCAAACGACTTGTCCAAGGCTGCCAGGTCAATTGCAAAATTGACACTCAAATCCAGGGCTTTGTGCTCCTTTCTGCTTTCCTGGGCCAGACAGAGCCTCCCATAAGCCACCTTGGGGTGCCACCACAGGGCAGTAGGTAGTGACCTGCTACAAACAGGTTTTGGCAGGGACAAGCTGGACTGGAGGGTAAGCTCTTTTTGCAAGGCGTTTACTGGTTTGACTGGGAGAGGGACTTGCCAGCAAGGGTTTAGAAGTGGCACCAGGAAGTGAGTGCTAAATTGTGAAGGATAACAGCATGGGCAGAGAAAGACCACTTGGTTCTTCCGATGGAATCTTGATAGCAGGGGAAGATGAAAGGAACCAAGCTGAGCTGGAGGCAGGGAAGAAGGTAGGGGAGGTCAAGCTCTGCACTTGGCTCTGAGCTGGGAGGTTTGGCTGACCAGGAAGTAGGGTCACCTTTGTGATAGCAGGAGATAGCACTTAGTATTTGACTAAGCACTTTGCATGCAATTACAAGTCACAACCCACAACAACATTTATAAGGTCTGGACTGTAATCTCCACTATAAAAGTGATGAAACAGAGAGAGGGGAAGAAGGAAAAAAGGTGAAAATACAGCATAAGAGTGTACAAGAATAATCTGTAGGAGGTCTAACACAGTTCAAACACTGGCATTGTGGCCCAGGCCCCACACCTGGGACTGTGGAGCTGGCTCATCAGGGCTTCAGGTAACAGAGAGGAGAGTAGAAGTAATCTCAGACTGACTAGAAGCTAATAATGCTGAGGAGCTGACTTGGGCATAGTGTGAGATGAGGAAAGACAGACATGGGAAGCATGCTGGAGGTTAGGGATGTGCAAGATGAATAAGGAGGCACATGGGCACTTATTTGGGGTGCTACTCTATGAAAGGAGTCCATATACAGGGTTTCATTGGTGACAATGGACATGTGGTCAGTATGTGAGGCAGGGGATTCAGAGTGAAGACTCTGCAAAGACAGTGTATGTCATTATTGTTACTAATAATAATAATATCATGAGTCAGATCTGATCATGCACCTTGTACCTTTACGTGCATGATCTCATTTAATCTCTGTGGTCTTTTTGGTAATCATAGAGTTTAAGTGAAGTCCTGGGTTGGGAGGTGGCAGGGAAAATGAAATGACATTCAGTTGTCTTCTCTTTGTAATCCCAGAATAATATCTGAGAGCCTGTGGCCCACTCCCTCTCCCCTACAGGTGGGGCCAAGGAAGTGACCCTGACTTCTGAGGTCACAAAGTTCTGGGCACTGTGACTTTTTCTGCCTGCCTCTGGGAGCCTCCCTTCCTGGGCCTGCCTCTCTCCCTGTTGTTATTGTTGTTGTTGTTGTTAAGTGCTGTTGTCGTAGTCGACTCATAGCGACTCCATAAATGTAAGGCCAGGACCTGAACAATTGGATAACTTTCATTGTTTCTCCAAGTTCATAGAGTTTCTGGAGGCAAGCTACTTCACAAATGGATGCCACTCCTGCTTCCAAGCTTGTTTTAATCGGGAAGCTCTACCAAACGCTGTCCACTGTGGGTAACCATTATCACATTTGACACATCAGTGTCACAGTGTTCAGCTTCACTGCAACCACGTGTTAACCTCTGTACAGCAAATGGACAGACCAGTACGATACCACTTAGAAGAATGTTTGACCAAAAATAATTAGAACCAGGCCTGAGGGCCACAGATTAAAATCACCCACCTTTAATGAAAGTATAACTTTCTATCCACCAAGCCCACAGAGCTCTCTTTACGTTGATGTTGTTGTTAAGTGTCATTGAGTCATAGATGACTTATAGTGACCCAATGAACGAAAGACCTGAACTTTCATTGTTTCTCCAAGTTCATATAGTTTCCTGAGGCAAGCTATTTTGGGGTGCTAAAACCTGGTTAGGTGCCTTCATGGCTTTGTGTGCTCATTTTATAGCCGAAAGAAAGGCCAAAGAGATGAAGCAATCCACCAAGGATGAACATCTTTACTGGGTGGGAGACTTGACACAGGCTTTTCAAATTTGCTTGTGGTTGGTTTGTTGACAGTAGTGAGACCTTGTGACTCTTATATCCCTAGGGTTTTAAGTAGGTAGCAGATCGCTTTCATGGTTGAGGAGCCTTGGAGAGCAGGAAAGGTCAGGATTCTTGGCTGCAGCCTGAAAGGTCCGAGGTTGGAATTCATCCAGAGGCATCTTAAAAGAAATGTCTAAGGATCTGCTTCCAAAAAAAATCCAGCCAATGAATACCCCTGGGGGTACAGTTCTGTTCTGTTCACAAGAATAAGCTCTGGACAACTGGTGAAAAGGCGTTAGGAGGGGCCTTCCCTGGACTGAGCAGGCAGGAAGGCTTAGGAAGAGATATTTAGGTGAAATGTCAAGAACAGGGACAGGAGGGGTCCTATGCTGGAGAGAGACTTTCAGGTGGAGGTTGTGGAGAATGGGGGTTTCTACATAGGAAAACAGGGGCTTGTTCTTGGTGTGGAGAGTGAGTGGGAAACAGGGGTTGAGGGTTGGGAGGGAGGAGCACCACAGTGTTAGTAGAGTTTTATACTCTTTGAGTGTTGAGCTGTGTTGGTTTGGGTGGGACTTTTTTTTTTAAGGGGGGGGGTTGAGATTGTCCCAGGATTGTGAGATAGAGACACCTCCCTGGGCACCAAGCCCTGTTTCCAAGACAATGGTGTGATGATGCTGAACACGCTACTCAGTGGCCTCCAACACTTTAAAGTTACTAGAACAAACAGTGCAGTCACCAGCTCTGGGCAAGGCCCAGGCTGAGCAAGACTGAAGGGCAGGGTACAAATCACCCAGGGCTGAAGGGCAGAGTGCAAACATCACAAGGCAATGACAGGAGCAATGGACTGACTGTGGAATGTGTAGATGAAGTGGGTGGGGTTAGACTAAAACTGGAAGTGCAGTGGGCAGGATGCAGAGGAGATATGGTGAGCATATCAGGCTTCTCATGTTATTATGTGCCATTAAGTTGACTGTGACTCATAGCAACCCTCTATGCAGTAGTTCTGAACTCTGCTCTACCTTGAGCCAATCTCTTTACTTCTGACACACCTAACCTTAATTACCTCAGTTACTGTGGTGATCATCTCTTTGGGGTCTTCTTCTCCAAGCTTCCAAGCATGATGTCCTTCTCCAAGGAATGGTCCCTCCTGGCAACATGGTTCTTATAGATAAGAGAAAAATCACGGACACAGGAAGCTGGAGGGCATGTGTAGGAGAACGTGAGTCCCTCAGGGACTTGGGACTCCCTGAGATGATAGAGTGTGTAAGTGGGGCCTTCCTCTGACATCTGACTGACATGACTACCTCCTGTGTGTTTTGCAGGCCCAGAGGCTGCTAGGTCCAAGAAGGGCTGCTCACAGGTCCTTCTTTGAGTCCTTTGTCCACCTGATCATTGTGTGTGCTGCTCTGGCTGTGGTCCTCTCTTCAGTCTCCATCTGTGATGGCTACTGGCTCCTGCTTGAGGATCACGTCTTTGGCCTCTGGCACTTCTGCACCATTGCCAAACAGAGTGAGCCACACTGTGTCTGGGACCGCAGTCAAGCCTGCGTGCCTGGGCTGGCTGCAGGAATGATACTGGCCCGAAGAATGGTCACCTTGGCCATGGTGGTAGCCATTTTTGGCCCGGGGCTCCTCATGGTATCCCAGATGTTTGAGGACTTCTGCTTACAGTGCAAATGTACCATGGGCTCTGTACTCCTCATTTCTTTCATCCTTTCCTCCGGGGGACTTCTGATCTTCATGATTGCCCTTAGGAACCAGGTCATGCTCCAGGACTTCACCTTGATCTTCTGGTGTGAGTTCACTGTCTCCTTCCTCTTCTTCCTCAGTGCCCACAGTGGCCTTCATATCAGTAGCATCACACATCCCTGGGACCATCCAAGGAAATTTCAGACCTCTCTCTGAAGACATCAGTTTCTACAAGAAACTATGGTGAGGATGGGACTTATCTGAAATTGGACCTCTGGTAGGGACAGGCTGGGACAATAACCTTGAAACTCCTACCTCTTATCCACTAAGGGTTGAATGCTTGGCTTTTGTAGATGGTCTGCAGGGCGGGATGCCAGGAGATGCCTCAGTGCTTCCAGCTGCACAGGCTACCAACAAAGTTACTAAGGCGCTGATTTTAGAAAATAAAAGAATTCTGAAGCTCCTTTCCATAATCCCTCCTCCCAGGAACTCTGAAGGCAGGGTGACTGGTGGGTCCAGTTGCACCCGGTGCTGCTCACACTGCTTACTGGCTATACTGCTGCTGTAGGTGGGGGTGTTCCTGGGATGTCCTAGGGCTGCTCAGAGAAGAATCACTCTTGCAGCTAAAGACCCAATCAGTTCCACTTTTGTTCCACAAACTTCCTGTCCCTTTGTGGACACTCCTGGTTTCCCATCCCTGATAGGTGGAGGTAATCCTTGGCATTTGGCCCCTGCCCTTTGCACACATTGCCCCACCCTGCCCCAATCCCTGAGTAATCCTGGCTGTTACCAGCTGTCCCTGATACTGAGTTCTCTTAAGGTGGTTGCCCTTCTTTGAGAGAGAGTTTTTGAGCACTAGCCCACAGCTTCACCTGACTTCTAATTCAGCCCTCCCTCAGGCAAGTGTCCATTTATTTATTTACAAGACTCAGGCTACAATTTTGGTTTTAGAAGATGGTATCTTTTCAAGAGCATGACTGAACCTGCTGGCTCCCATGGGGCTCAAGGGGAATGGCCTGAACTCCCGTAATGATTGATTAATCACCATCTGAGGATGAGTGAGGTGAAGCGGGCTGGGAACATCCTTGCCTGGGATCTGCATTTGTGTCACTGATGGTCCCTTTTCCTGTTCTTTTTCTGCCTGGGAGCCATCTACTTGGACCTGGTGACACTCCTGGTTCTTGCTGTATATCCAGCTGTCTAGGCAGAGGGCTTGTGCCTGCCTCCATAGTGGTTGTATGAATGTTTGTTCAAGATGTATCTGGAAAGCCTGGAAAAGACTTCTGCATTAACTAGTTTTACAAGCATCAGAACCCACAAAAGCCACATGTAGGCTCCATTTCTCAGCCTGGACAGTGGGCATCTGCCCTTTTCATCCTAGCAGCAGCCCATAGTTATGAGAGTATGACCATCCCTGTCTGCAGTTAAGGGTGCAGACCTGAAGAGCAGGTCACCCAAAGCCAGCAATGAGCTCTGCCCCATCCCACAGTAAGATGCTCTTTCCCACTGGGGCAGGAGTTACTGGGGAGCTGACCCAGTGTGCCTTTCTCTGAGCACCAGTAAGGGCAACTGTTTAAGTGCTCACTTAGTAACCAAAAGTTGAGCCCATGGAGAGGTACCTGGAAAGAAAAAGTCAAAGATCTACTGAAAGAGTACAGCCAGCAGAAGACCTGCAGGGCCCAGCTCTCAAACACATAACCACCGGGAATCAGAATGAACCCCATGGCACCTGATTTGGGTTTTGATTTGGAGTGCACATAGGTTTTATTTTGTATGAAGTTGAAATATTTGATCCTTTCTAATCTCAACAGGAACAGGGAGGGAGGGGTGATGGTGCTGATATTCAAGGGAATTGAGACCCAGAGAGTGAAAGAGCCTGCTCAGAAGCTGGAGGGCAGAACAGCAACCGCTGCTCTTCAGTGCTGGGAGCAGCCTTGCAAAGGGACCAAGGAAAGTACAGACACAGCCTCAGAACATGGGATTTGAAGGCAAGAGGTGCTCGAGGAACCTGCTTCTCTTCTACAAAATAGTACCATGTCTGTTCCCTGCCATGCCTGCCTCTGAGGAGAGAGCAGGAGACAGAAGGGTGCTTCAGCTTGTTAAAGTTACGGTACAAGGGGGCTGCACTGGATCCCACTGTAAAGGATAGAATAACTTGGACAGCTGTGTGAGTGATGGTCAGTGGACAGTTGAGCTACAGCAGAAGTGGGTAGGATCTACCCTGGCCCTTGATGCCAGGTCACTGGAAGTGATGCTGGAGGGTCTGGAAGGAAGACCTCCTCCAGCCCACCAGGTCAGGAATGAGCCTAGGATCACGGGGAAACACATAGAGGAATGACCCAATTCCAACCCCCCCCCCAGATGTCCTGTTTCTGACCCTTCTGTAGCCCCTGTTGCTCTTGGCTTCTCGCTTCTGTCCGTGCCTCTCAGATGATACCAGCCCTGCCGCTGTTCCAGCTTTGCTCAGAGGGGCTGGCCTTGGCGCCGTGAGTGAGGCCACTGTTAACATTGCTGAAGGAACTAGTGAGGGCTGTGGGATGTTGCAGGTGGTCTCGGAGGTGCCACTGCTGCCACTTCTTCTGAATCTCCAGCTGCACCTGTCCACACAGACAGCATCAGCCCAGCAGGGAAGAACTTCTGCCCAGGGATTCCCCACTGCCCTAGGGACCTCACAGGCCCTGCAGGCCATCCAGTGGGCTGTTTCTAGCACAATATACCCTGGATGCGGAGGGCTGGGATGGTGCAAATGGTTAATGCACATGGATGCTAACTGAAAGGAGGGGGCTGCTAGTCTACTACAAGATGTGTCTCAGATGAAAACACATGTGGTGACCTACTCATAAAGACTATCACGCTTAGAATCCCAGAGGCCTGCTCCATGCTCACACACAGGGTTCCAGGGCACAAGCAACTCCAAAGTGCTGCTTTGAATATTTGGGCTTCACGTGACTGACTGCCCTGAGTACCTCCACCTCGGTTCTCACTTCCTACTGTGCTGAAGAAGGGACTTGCCATTTGTTTTATAAACCATAGAACCAAAACAGGGATCCTCTGGGACTGCTGACCTCAAGAAACCATCACGGCACAGAAAGTGTGTGGGAGTCAGCCAAGTTACTTTCGGAGATGTTTTTTCAAACTTCAGCAGAGACAGCACAGCTAATATCTGGGAAATGAGGACTGATGCTTGGTTTTGGTCACTCCCATTACAGTGTGGTGAACTAGGTAGAGGCCAAGAGTCACAGAAAGGACTTCCTTGTGCACAGTTCAGCTCTGCTGGCTCTGCACCGTGTGCATTGACTGGGTGCTGTGTGCATTGGCTATAGGGACTGTTTGTCCTCTGTAAGGATCAAGTTCTCCAAAGAAACATGCAGCCCCTGGGATGAGTCCATGTTTATTTGGAGCCTCTGAGGCCTAGGCTGCAGCCATCACATGAGTAAGAACACTGACCCCTGCCTGTGAAGCATGCCTGTCTCTGTGGCACCAATCAATGCCTCAGAACTTCTGATCCTTCAGTTATTATTAAGTATGAACCATTGCATTGACCATGGGTCCAGCAGTCTGCTTTTAAAAGTCCTTCTGCAGGTCTGCTGTGTGTGTGTGTGATGGTCTGAGACTTGAGGAAGGCAGACCTCGAGTCCAAGCTACTAGGCCTAGGCCTCTCCAGCCTTAACCCCATAAACTCCTCTCTTCTCAGCTTCCTTCTACCACTTCTTCCAGGTAACTGCTAGAGTAGTGTCTGGTGGACAGGGACTCTTTCTGGACTTCAAGCAGCCAGAAGGCACTTACCTCCTCATTAAGAAAGCAGTAGAGGATGGCCACCACCAGGCCCTGGAAAGTAGCAAAGATAGCAAGTGGTCACTCTGTGGCCAACAGCCCCCCCCAAGTCCTTCCAGCACCAGCTCAGACCCTGAAGGAAGTCCTCCATGGGTCTTTCCTACCTGTCTCCCATCACAGCTCTCACCTAACAAGAGGGGGGGCTGCCTTCCCCACACCTGTGACTAGTGACCCACAGTGTCTGCATCAGAAACTTCAGGGTCACGTGGACACTATAGTCTGTGGCCCCCAAAGCCCAGCACAGGGACACCCCCCCAACCACACTTATCAGTAACATGAGGGCAGGTGTAGGAGAGGACATGGGGCTGAGATTGTCTGGGAGGAGTGAACCCCAGGCCTGTCCAGCTTCATAGAATGGGTGAATTATACAAGTGTCACTTTGTGGACTTTGCTGTTCAAAACATGATGCAAATCTGGAACTTCTTAACTTGGAAAAGTCAATTAAAAGGGACGACAATTTTTAATTTAAAAGCATGTTTAAGCTCTGGGTTGGATGGACAGTTGGAGATCTTGTGGATTAGGACTGTCCACAATACCTATGGTTTCCATTCTCTGTGGAGTCAGTTTTGACAGGTGGCACTGGCTTTACTCTATAGGCGAGCAGTTTGTGGATTCAAACTCCTTATTTTGGGGTTAGAACCCCAAAATGTAATGCATTACACCACTAGTGCTCCTGCAAGAGCCCTCAGTGGTACAAGTGGTCAGTGTTCTGCTACCAAGTGAAAAGCTAGTCATTCAAGTCCACCTAGAGGCCTGCAAAAGTCTAATGAGAGCAGTTTCCTGTTACACATGGGGTCGGCGTGAGCTGGGCCTGAGTCAGTGGCACAGGATGGAGGGGACAGTGGTCAGACAGTGAAAGGTGGATGAAGCCAGGCTCTAAAGAAAGCTGACCTGGCTTTGCTGCAAAACTTGGCCACTGAGTACCTGTGGGATTCTGGGAAACAGGTACTTATTTTTCCCTCACCTAAGAATACTTGGTAGCACTGAGAGCTAAGCATTGCATTGCTAACAACAACAACAAAAATGATGTTTCAAGCCCACCAGAAAGGTTAAACTGGTGAGCCTATAGTGTAGCTATGAGCCAGGGTTCCTACCTAAAAGCGAGCGGTCCTAGAAATGGGTGATAGGAGTTCCACTTGGTAGATAAGGGGACTAAATCACATAGAGGCTTGGAGTTGTCCTCACAAGCCCTGGGGCTCACTGGCTCTGCTGCCCAGGACTCAGGCAAACATTTTTACTGCATTCCAAGAAGAGGCCACCAAGTTAGCAAAACCCAGGCCTTGGCAGTGAGGTCTGATGTATTTCAATGATACTTCTGATACTAAGGGTATTAACTGTGGATCCAAGTAAGATGAAGTCATTGAAAATGTCAATCTTTTCTC